CAACAAAGCTGCGGGCTTAAGGAAGTGGAGGAAGTCCTTTCTTGATACTTCCTGTGTGCGACGGTGTAGTTCTATATTCATTAATTATTATTTCTGTTTCAGACTAAAAAACTCATGTACCAATTACACGTGTCATGATTGTGTTCAGCATGTAGATGTGAACAAATAAAAAAAGTTAACTGAAAAAAATAAAATAAACCAAAATGATAGGGGGGCTTGTGATTATTTTAGGGGGGCTGAAGCCCCCCTAAAACGGACCTAACGACGTCAGCGGCTTCCAGTGTCATATTCTGTGTCCCTTTGTTCCCCAGCCCCTCCAGTTCCCACTCCAGGTTCTCCTTTTGTGTTCTCATGGTGCCCTCATGTGTCCTTTGTCTGCGTCTTTCCCCATGTGTCTCCTAATGTTTCTCCATCCCTCTCTGGATACCCTTTTGTGTTCTCTTGGCGCCCTCATGTGTCCTTTGTCTGCATCTCTGTTGTGTGTCTTAAGTTGTAGCCCCAGCCTCTTGGTCCCCAGTTCATTGTATGTGTGTATGAGTTTGTGTGTGTCAGTATGTGTATGTGTCTGTGTGAGTTCTTCCCTTAGTCTTTAGGTTTAGTTTTGTGTTCTATATAGTGTTAGGTTTATCTGCCCTCCACTGGTTCTCTTCCCCATCCAGATAATTGCTGTCACCTGCCTTCCCTCCAGCCTCACTCCACACACCTGCTTCTTGTTTCCCTAATTGCTCCTCCCTGTCTATATAAGCCCTCATTGTTCTTGTTGGTCCATTGTTGTTGTCAGCGTGATTTATTCTCAGTCTGCTCGTTCCTCTTGTGTTTTTGGATTTCCTGATTTTTGACTTTGCCTTCCTGCCCTTTTGGATTTTATGTTAGTTTTGGGGTTCTTCCTAAAATAAAAGGATTTGTCTTTATACATCTACTCCTGCCTCGTGTCATCCTGGGTAACTGCATTTTGGGTCCAAACCATCCTCTCATCGTGACATCCAGGAGCTCCCTTTAGCTCACCCGTAATTCGAATCCTGCATATAGCACAAGTTTGTCACGTGAGTTGCCGGATCCTAGCAGACAGTTGCCGGAATGGTCCTTTCAAAATAAGACAGTTCCCGGATCTTGTTCTGGCAAGATCTGGCTCAAATTAAGAACTGATTGGTGACTATTAAGCATGTTTTTGGAAGGACTTTGTTACTGTGAATTATGCGCGGACCCATTACTGGATTTAGGTTGAGTTTCAATTTACAGCTGATGACATCCACAGACAACATCTCCCACACTTTTGAAAAGCTTGCAATGCGCCTGTTTCATACTAATAATTTATCTTCAAACAACTAAAATGATCCTACAAAATGGTGGCAGTAGAGGCCCATTATAAACACACCTAACCTTAGCCTTAACACTTAACCTTCAGAAACCGTTAACGTTTCATTACAATGTTTCTCCATGAAGATACGTTCATTTACATCTTTTTAGGACCAAATTTAAGTTCAGCTATTTAACTTTTATAGACATACCTGTGAACAAACGAGGGAGACACGTTGTTTCTTTTAATTCTGCCTGCGCAGAATCCCTCTATGCCCACAGTGGCACTATCGCCCTCTGCTGGTGTGACTGAGCACAGCAACCTCAACTTTATATAATGCAAATAAGCTTTATAAAACAAAAATAGAAGGGGGTGTCTGTTTTCATAAAAAACATATTAGATAGCATTTTACAGCCTACTGCACACTGAGGAGGAGCTCGGAGAGTGTCGGTGACGCACTCGACATTGTGCACAATAGAGCAGTATTGAGTAGTGGTGTTTATCTCTACCTTCCTCACGATTCGATCCGATTCCGATTATCTGCCTAACGATTCGATTTGAGTCTGAAATGCATCACGATTTTTCACACAAAAATTTTCATTACTTAATAAAAGCAGTAGAATAGTTTTCAATTTCTTTTTGATTTCGAAATCCCTGAAAAACAGAACATTCATCTATTCACTATAGTGAGCAATAATGTTTAAAGTGTGCTGCCTATAATTACTTAAATAATAAAAGAAATAATGTTTTCGGTAGAGCAGCTTTAAGATAGAATATTACTGAACTTAAAAATAGTAAACAAATACTGTGTTGAGTGATTCTTTCACATTCAGGATCCCAAAACCGAAATTAGCCCAGACATCCGATTTAAATGTAACGGGTACATCTTTGATTACTGGTAATGTTGGCCCAGTATCCCTGTCCACCTTTTCTGTTTTAAATTGGCGCTAGGGCAACGCAGCGCGCATGTCATTGCAACTCTGCCCCCAGAAGTAATTGTAAAACCTCAAAACTTTATTGTCCTCGTATAGACATAGACCGGGGGTTGGCAACCTGTTCCCATCAAAGAGCCATTATTACCCGTTTCCCACTGTAAAGAAAACACTGGGAGCCACAGCAGCTGCGGCGTTGTGGGCGGGGCCTACCCTCAGACAGCAGAGCGCTGCTCACAACAGGTGACAGCAGCCAGTACCGGTCGCTCGTGTACGTCAAAATTATCTTCCATGAGACGATAATCAATAAAACGATTTATATAAAGTGGATCCAGAAGTTGTAGCCCGTCTCTGCCTACAATATTTTGATATTTTTCACTCTGTTGGTGGTTTTACTGAGCAGGTGCCACTTTTGTCATACGTTTCTTTTTAAAACATGTTTAGACTGTTCAGAATACAAATCCAGGCTCTGTCAGGTTTGATTGTTGTAATTAAACTTTGTAGGTGGGGAAGGTCAGAAAAAGATACGATCATTTTGTTTTTCCCTCATTTACAGTGACGGAGATAACGGTGCAGTGCGCCTGGCTCCGGTGTTAATCAAGTTTAATTATATCTCTTTCCAACAATTTTCACAAGAAAACAGAACAGTTAAAAGCAGGGCTTGTGTTGACCGGACAGTTCCCGTATTTGACTGTTTATTTTGATGGAGAAAGAATAGAAAGAATTACCCCGACGCATGCAGATGAACTGACATATTATTCGTTTCGCGCAGATGTAGCTAAATCACTTAAGAAATGATTCCCATCTGAGCTGGACACTGAGCTCAGCGCAGCTCGCTGTCAGCACGTACGTACGGCGCACAGCGAGCTGAAGATGTGGAGAGGGGCTTGGAGCATGTCGCAGAATCAGAGCGCATGCAGGAAGATTCCTCCCACTGAAGCAAGACTTGTCACTTAGAAAATGTTCCCTGATTATGAAACTTTGGCTGAATAGCGCTTGTTCCTGTCTCCAATGTGGCGACGCATCCAGGAGCTGTCTGAGGAGAATCCGAGAATCTCACATCCTCTTCAGCTCAGAAAGCGCCAATATGATTACGCACAAGTGTGACGCATCAACCCGGTCTCACAGTAAGACCAGGTCGGAACTGATCAAGTTTACGCAGACAATCTTTACATTTAGAATTGGCATACAGATGTCAAATTAATGCAGTAAAATATAAAGCATTTTATTTAAACATCCATTCATTATTTTACAAGCACAGAGAGCCGCATCAGATGGATGGAAGAGCCGCATGCGGCTCCAGAGCCGCAGATTGCCGACCCCCGACATAGACATAGGGAGAGAATCTCATTTTGTCACGTTGCTGCATCGATGCGGAATCATGCACGGCTGAATCGCGATGCATCTTAGAATCGATCATTTTTCCCACCTCTAGTATTGAGTGGAAAGTGGAAACCCTTCTATCTTTCAGAGAGTCTGGAGGACTTCTGGTTATTGCATTTGGAGAAAATTTCCTGTTTTAAAACTTTGAATGTAGTGGGAGTATTTTCTGTCCTGATTAATGGAAGGTGTTGTCAGTTAGCTCTGGTAACCAATTACCAGCTGGCTGTACGACTATAAAGGGCCAGTTATGTTCAGCAGTGGTAGAAAGCTGAACTAACTAAAGGGCACGCCCCCTCGTCTTGTCCTGCAGGTAATGTCGCTAATTTTGTCGTGTGACTTTCTTTGCCTTCCATCACTTATTACATATTGTTGTACAGATTATCTTGTTGTGGGTCCCTCTGGTTCATTCATCTGGAGTAGAGCTGGTATGTCTAATTTGGTTTTACGTGCCTCTCGCTTTGTTTGTATTATGCTTGCTTAGTATGAGGATTGCTGTATAGTCACTGACACTAGTCAGTGACTTGATGCAATTTGCTGGGTTCCTTATATAGGAAAATTTTTACTGATTGGCTTAATGAACTGACCCGTACTGGAATGTATATTATGTGAAGCGCCTTGAGACGACTCTTGTCGTGATTTGGCACTAAATAAATGCACTTGAATTGAATTATTAAGTCTCCTCTTTGTGAATATGCCAAACACCAGCTATCAAGCTAAAACACACACATTGCTTTTTAAGGAACTGCCTGATTGGTATGTAGCTGGTAGAGATAGGTGGGGCTAAACCCCATGAACATCATGTTGAACAATTTTTCAATCATGAAAAGACTTCATCAATTAATTTTTATTTGCAGAACGTTTAACAGAACCTGTTATTTCATCACTTTCTTTTCCTTCCCTGCCTTTTTGCATTTTCTTTAGTGTTTTTTACTTAAAAAAAAAACGTAAATCAGGTCATTAGCGCGGTCTATGTTGAAGAGAATTGTTATAGGAACCCAGCGACCCGGGAGGTTTTTCTGGTTACAGCCTCCCTGGGGTCCCTGCTCTCCGGGGCAGCTCCTGGATCTCTGGGACTTGGAGCTCCCTCCGTCTCCTACACATCTTTGGGGGGCAGATCTGTGGCCCCTCACACTCTCTATTGGACGCTCCTATAGAGAAACCTTACATATGCAAGTGTGTGTACACACACAGGTGCTCACATGGTGCTCTCAATGGTATGGACTTGGGCATGTTCAACACGTGTCTTAAGGCTGTGGTTGGCACTAAATGCACTATGATTTATTATCGTGATTGTTCAGTAAAACAATGTTGATTTTATATTTCCTCATCAGGTTGATGCAGTGATAGCTTGATTTTGCTGTATTGTTGTGTGTCCCATTCCCAGCCAGCATACATTGGTGGGCCCCACGTGATATATAAATGTGCAAATTACTTGGGTCCCAAATGGGCTTGTCCACGGTTTTTATGGTGGACCTATAAGGGTTTGCCCACATAGATTATGACGGGCCCTGGAAGGGCTTTCAGTGGAGCCCAGATGGTCGAATTACAGGACACCCATGCGTGCCCCATCTAAGTGCTTTGAGGGATGCTTAACTGGGCCTTACTGAGGTCTCAAGTGGGCTGGAATATGGGTAACATGTGGGTCTGTCCATGGTTTCCATGGTGGACCTACAGGGGTCTGCCCACATAGATTATAGTGGGCCCCAACTGGGTTTTCAGTGGAGCCCAGATAGTCGAATTACAGGACACCCATGCGTGCCCCATCTAAGTGCTTTGAGGGATGCTTAACTGGGCCTTACTGAGGTCTCAAGTGGGCTGGAATATGGGTAACATGTGGGTTTGTCCATGGTTTCCATGGTGGACCTACAGGGGTTTGCCCACATAGATTCTAGTGGGCCCCAACTGGGTTTTCAGTGGAACCCAGATGGTTTACTAACACAAGACCCATGTATCCACTGCCTGGGTCCTAATGGGGTTTCATCTGGGGGAGGGTTGTTGTTGGCTGGGTCCGGTTAACCAGCTATTAATCGTTAAGGGCATCATTAGCTGGTTAAGAAATTTTGGAAAACGTGCATCCCTACAGGCCAGGCATGGGATGTAATGACTGTATCCTAGTGGGTGCACTAACATTGTTCTCTCTGGAGGCTGTCTTGACTGGGATAGCATTGTGCATGTCCCCTCATGTGTCCCGCCTCCTTTGTGGATGGTAGCTCTGCAGCCAGGGGCTGATGTGGGTACCCGTTAGCTGGGATGGCCATTATCCAGGGTGAACATGCACTAGGGGACGTAGTGGTAAGGCTGTGGTGCTTTGTGTTCTGCTGCCCCTTGTGCCTGTTTCCTAGGAGATACTGCTTCGGCTTCTTGGGAAAATTACACTAAGGGAAATGCAATCTTAATTGACAAACAGAATTTCAAAATCTTATTTAAATGACACCTGTCTTTTCAGTTAAGGCTTTTAAGACACTGCTATGGCTGTTTACAGGCTAATGTTAAAAATTGGCAGTAATTTCTTTTGAATCCAGATGAGCAAAAAGCAATTGTTTCAAGAAAACATGTAAAATTATACAGTGAACAAACTAGACTAAAATGTCTATTGAAGGAAGAACAATTTAATGCATCTTCAACAGTACGGAATTAATAGAAAATATAATTTCCATTTACATTAAAGCACAAAACTAAATCAAATGTCCAAAGCATAACTTTTATTGGGCATCTACAAACACTCCACTTACATGTTGGTCACATTGTAAGTCTAACAAATGAGTTTCTGAAACCAAAATGGTTTTTATCTCCCAAACTTACTACATTCAAAGCTGCTGAACTAGGCATGTGTAAAAGGCTTGACTACAAAAAATGCTGTCCATCTTCAGAAAGCTGCCAACCTGCATTTGAATTTGCAGCCTCCCTATTTGATCTAACTTTTCTGTTACCACCTCTGTCACGAGCTCCAGTGAACCACTTCGAGAGGGCCTTCTCCGCATCTTTCTGGGTGATTCCCTGGATGCATCCATTTCTTTTAAGTGCTCCTGTAAATCAAGCATAAGTAGAAATTGTATTAGTGATTTTACAAGCAGATATTCATTCTGACGTCTTACAAGTTATTTTTGTTGGATTTTTAACAAAAAAATAAAAAATAACAGAAAGTGAAAATGCTGACAGAGAAAAAGCATGCTCAATCTTTGTAGCTATTTTCTGGTTCAGATCTGATATAAAGCCATAAAACTGAGAAGAATATTCAACATTACCATTAATTCTGTGCTGAGTTGTGTTTTTGTGTAGCATATAGGTCACTGCACACTGTTTACTAATCACCTCCTGCTATTCTTTTTCTTGAGTAAAGCCGCCACCCCCCCCACCCCCCTAGGGTTGCGAGTCCCCTCCCCTTCTTCTGCGAGCATTTTAGTGCTCACCCACCTTTTTGTCACAAAATTGCCAGGGAACAACAAACAATCAAAAGGTAAGCTGTGTTAACCCTGGCTGTACTGAGCCATTTTAGGCTGAGTAGTGCTGCTGGAAAAACGGCTTATGCCATTTGAATACATAAAACCCAAGGGGGAACCCTGACTTACAGAACCCAAAGCCAACATGGAAGTGACAAAAACTGCAGTAACCCTTTCATTCACTAGGTGATGGCTCCAAAACAGAAAATTCTCATTGCCTCCCATGTTAAAAGAATGCCAACTTTACAGCAGGAATACCCATGTTTACAGTCATGGCAACTCTGATGGGGTGAAGTTTTATGTAACACATCCAATTAGATGTAATTAAAGCTAGAAATTATGAAAAATTAAGACTTTGACAAGTAGCATGAGCATCAGAGATCGCTTTAGTGGCTAGCTTCAGGGAAGGCCTCAGGTTATGGTTTGGCCATTTTGACAGTGAATTTTAACAGTGTCCTCGGTGTATTTCATTTGGATATTAATTACAGTGTTTCCCATAGAAATGTTTCCAGCTGTGGTGCGCGAGGTGGGGGTGTTTACATTCACGGACTGTTTCGCTGCCGTGACAGCAGGAAAGGGGGTAATAGCACTCAGAGGGGAGAAGATTTCATAGCTGTGGCGCTACAATTTTCTGCATGGCGCAGTGCCACGCCTGAGCCTATATATGGAAAACACTAAATCATGAAATTGCTTTACATACAGGGCAAGCTGTGGTACTGATTGCCCTACCAGAATATCTGCGAAGTCTCTGCTCCATTTATTTCTGTAAATAAAATTATACTTCTGTACTTAAGTTTTGCTGGTTGGATAGGGCAGGGATTCCCGAACCCCTTGGGGTGCAAGAGATGAAAATTTTAATGGCAATAATTACACAATTACAGCATTTTGTTCCCCACACAATAACAAAGTTTAAATAAACATTTCCTCTGTACAATTTAAAATAATGAAAATTACTAATCAAAATCCACATAATCTTAAAATGAGGGTTTGAAAAGTCTCATAATTGCAACACCTCACAGCCAACTCGCCGGGGCATCTACGGAAATACCTCCCACCCATCAACACAATTCAAGCGTGGATTCGAAACTCATTAGAAGTTTCCCTCCCGGACCAGAGGGAAGATCATTGGAAAGCTTTGTACAAGATGCAGGCTCACCCATACAGTGATGACATTGAGGGGGGAAAAAAAACTCTTCCTGAAAGGATCTTCTCTTAAAAGTCCTGAAATCATTAAATTTTAGCTACTAGGTTTTGTCATAAGGTTACTGACATATACTTTAAATATTGCTAACCAGTTGTTTTATTAATAACGCAGGTGATCTGTTTTTTGTTTTGCGCAACAGCGCACCAATAAAATGTACAACAGCTAACGGGCAGAGAGGCCTGTCGGGTTTTCCTTAACCAGGGGTTCTGACAGAACTCCGGCTTGTTCCAGCAGGAATTAGCTGACAGGTAGGCTATTTGTTTTTTTACAAAAAACATTTTGTGTCTAAAGCCCTTTGGGTTCAATGAAATGTTTCTGTTAGATCTAGAAAATAAAGCGCTCTTTCCCTGCACACCAATCAATGAGTGATTATTGCCATCTTAGGCTCCATCTGGCCACTTTTTAAAATGTTTTCATTCATTTATATTTTCTGATCGTTCTGCTACTCCAAATCTCATTGCTACATGGTGCTGCTCAAAGGGTTTAAAACCATTTCTTGCGCCTATAGGTCCCAGTGCCTGGATTTCTGTCTCTGTTGTCATGGTTACCCGTGACATGCCGTCAATAAGCCGATTGGTCTCAGCACAGTGGCCAGCAGCGTTATGCGTCATGTCCTGTGTCAATTAAACTAGAAAACCAGACAGGTGCTTTTCTTGCTAGTTAGCTGCAGTGCAGTTTATAGGTTCTAGTTTGATTCAGATGTGTTGTGGCACATAACACAATTTATACACCAATAAGTATTTCAAAAACATGTGAAAGTAAATCAGTTACTACACAAGCAACAAAAGAGACACACACTTTATTTACAATCGCCATCTGTCCATGGTGCTGAAAGGAAAAGACGCATCAGCTGCGTTATTTGTTGGTTTGATTGAAAAAATTTAATAATTAGTATTATTTAAGATAAATATCAGTAACCTTATGATAAAACCTAATATTAACAGTTAACGATCTTGGGCTTTCAAGAAGAGATCCTTTCAGGACAGCTGATCTCTGGAACACACCCCTTACAAACTAACAACTCATTCCCACGCCTTAAGTATCTCGTGACTGTCACCAGACGGGCACCATAATAATATGGGTATTGCTTCCTACTTCTGATTCTGAGCCTGTAATCAGTCTTTTTTGCTCATAAAAGTGGAAGAATTTGCATAACTTTGTTAGTGTTTCAGATGAATTCAAATGCGAGAGCACATTGTTGTGATCGTGAACATCAAAATTGTTACTTACCATACACAACATCGAAGAGGCGCAGGTCACGGAACTTGTTTTTTCCATGGCGACCAAATACACTGAACTGGAGAGCCAATTCATGGGACATCAAGAATGCCATCATTCGTCTTGTTGCGTCATCCAACGATGTGCCTCCAATTTCTCCAACCATGGCGATCTTGAATTGGATAATTACAGGACAACATTTTGGAATCAACACAAGAATTCTTTTTAAAATCAATATATCAAGTTTTTATTGGGGTGGGGGGGGGGGGGGGGGGTCGCGCACTTCGCAGCACTCCTCCTTGAGAGCAGGGGTGGGGGTTGCACACGTTCCGCTGCCGTTTCTCACCAGTGTCAGCTAATGGAGGGATCTAGTTTCATTGCGCCGTTCGTGTCAGCAGACACGGTAGTGTCAGGGTGGGGGTCATGACGCTTAGCCTGGCAAAGCAAAGCCTGACGGACCGCAAGCTTATAAAGCGCTGGAGGAAATAATTAGTGTTTGTTATATATATCTCAGTATGGACAAGATGCCTATTTAATGTATTAATGTATAAGCAGGATCTTACTCGTAATTTGCATTTTTTATTGGGTGGGCATCGGAACTAGCCCACGCACTGTTAAAACAAACATCCCAGCTGTAAAGCTGATCTTCATCCATGTACGTCACTTGTCAAGTGACCAGGAAGCAGAAAATCCACGAATTAGATCGTTTTGGGCAGCTGCTGTGAAAAAGCCGAGGCGCGAACGGGAAAAACTTAGGACGCTCACAATTCGACAATGGATTATGAAAGAACGGATAACGCTTGAAACACGCAGATTCTTCCTGATGTAAGAAGTGAGTCTTCTCTTGTGGTAGTTTTGGCATCGACATTATCAAAGAGCAGAACGTTCTGTGACTCTTCAAAAAACAGTAAAATTGCTGAAAAACGCTGGCAGTGAGGGGCTTTTCTGATCAGGAAACGGCTGGCAGTTAATGTGTTAATGTATAACTTATTGAACAGTTACCAGTTTTGAATAGAAAATTATCAGATTTAAAACACCAGATTTTTTTCTTGTCAAAGACGAGTACTGACATTTGAATTCTTTCAAATACACTGCACTGATATAAGTACTAATAAATGTCATTACACTCCTTAAAAAGAACTTTGTGTTTAAGCTTTAACATGGAAGTTATCTTCCCTCTAATCATGCAGGGGATGGCGCCCTTTGTTTCTGTGGTAGCATTGCAGGTTTTGGGAAATTCTCCTTTCCCTTGGGTTGCTTGCCCTTTTCTAACTACATGTGATCGCTGGATTGAAAGCTGGAAGGTTTTTAAAATGTGGCAGTAGATGAACAGCTGTGGGGGGAGAGGGAGATGAGACGCAGGTAGAAGCGGCAGAAGGTGGCAGCACTGGAGCGAGAAGGCACAAACTGATTAGACTTTTTCAACATATAGTTGGAGAACTATTTATTCCCTGAAAGAGGGAATGACTGCATGAAGCACCAGAAACAATTAATAAAATATACAGACGTTTGACAGGCACGGTGCTTTCTGCGTGATCCCTGAAGTAGCCATCAGTGCTAGTGTCTCTCTTGGCTCTGCAGCTGTGTGCACACTGAAACAATGCCTTTTTGATTCCAGCTTTGAAATGCGTGGCACTAAGAAATCTGTTTTTACACACTGGGGCCTATTCATCAACTTTTATTTAATTTTAAGACCCTGCAGACACCCTGAGGAAATCTTAAGTCTTTTTTTTCTCCTTTTGTACAATTTTCTATTGGCTTTACCTTTTTTTATTATTGTTTTACATTTTTATTTTACATAAATTTATTTTATGAGCATTTAATTACTTTTTTGTGGATCTTTGTAAAGCACTTTCTGATTTTTTTATTTATGATAAGTGCTATATAAATAAACTTTACTTATATATCAGTTTTATACTGTTTAATAGGGGCAACGGTGGAACAGCAGCTAAGTGCTCGCCCCGTAATCGGAAGGTTGCAGGCTCGAGCCCCGCTCAGTCTGTCGCTATTGTTGTGTCCTTGGGCAAGATACTTAACCCACCTTGCACGCTGGTGGTGGTCGGAGGGACAGGTGGCGCCAGTGCTCGGCAGCCTCGCCTCCATCCGTCCACACTAGGGCAACTAGCTGCATTGTGGCTCATCCCCACCAGCGTGTAAATGGATGTGTAAATGGGTGAATGACTGATTGTGTTGTAAAGCACCTTGGGGGGTTCCAGGACTCTGGAAGGTGCTATATCAAATACATGCCATTTACCATTTATACATTTTAACAAACAAAACTTTAACTTACAACTCCAGACATAAATTCAGAGTCACTCAGCTTTTCATTCATTGCCAGGACATCATCCACTGTAGTCATGGGAAATACAGCTCCCTCAGGTGGTTCCACCAGTGATACAGCAGATTTTTGCTTCAGTAGAGTATCCAACATCTTTCCATGTATTTTTAGAGTTTCTTTGACGTCCTCTAAAAGAGTAACCAGTCTGGTGAACAAAACCTCCTCCAAGCCATTGGTGCTACTCATGCTTAATGAAGTCCCAGGTCTTGGAACAGGGGTTGCACTGGGGCTTCTCAGAGTCGGCGTTGCACTGGGGCTTCTCAGAGTCGGCGTTGCACTGGAACTTCTCAGAGTCGGCGTTGCACTGGAACTTCTCAGAGTCGGCGTTGCACTGGAACTTCTCAGAGTCGGCATTGCACTGGGGCTTCTCAGATTCGGCGCTGCAATGAGGCTTCTCAGAGTCGGCGTTGCACTGGGGCTTGTTAAACTATGAGAATATCTGGGGGAACAAGGGCTAAACACTCTTGGGGCATATCCAGTTGCAATAAATTCAGGTGGAGGAGAAGGTGGTATTTCATTCTCAGAAGACTCCACATCTTCTTCACTAGATGAAAAGGTATTCCATTTTTTGGAGGACCTAAATAGAAAAGGTAAAAAAAATAATTCTGGAGGATTCTTGTAGTTATAAAATGAAACATGAACTGGAATCAGATTTGTGTGATTTGTCTGTTGTGCCACAAATAGGGATGAGTACCGAATTCGGTACTTTTTAAGGTACCGACCGAATTCCATAGAACCGACCGAACACCGATTCACGTCAATTCAAACGGTGCCTCGTTTCGGTACTGCCAAGACAGTTGCGCATGCGCAAGAGCGTTATGTCGCCGGTCCCTGCGAGCCCGTTGTAAACAGAGCAAGCATGGTAGAAAGAACGCACGCTAAAGCTTGGGTCCACTTCACTAAATGTGGTGGATAACTGGGTGATGAAACTAGCGACAGACAACTATCTAAGTGAGACATCCTCATCTTAATCTGCTCCAGTAGGTAAATAAAATGTTTAAGATAACGTTACCTTGATTTGTTAGCTTCCGTTTCGCTAATGGTGCGTTCGCTTTCTCCTCGGAACTCCGAATTTCCGACTAGAAGAACATGAACGCGCTCTAAAGTTTGGCTTTACTTTACTAAATGCGACGGGTGATTGGGTGAAGGTAAAACCAGTGACAATTATCTAAGTTTGAGGCATCATCGTTTTAATCTGCTCCAGCAGCGAAATAAACTGTTAAAGATAACGTTAGCTTGATATGTTAGCTTCCATTGCCACCATTGTTATCAGCTAATGGTGCGTTCGCTTTCTCCTCGGAAATTCTAACTTCCCAGTAGGAAAAATCAAATGAAAAAGGACGGCAAAAGGAATGAAGATACACAGTAAATTTAGTTCACAGTAAAGATGTTTGCTTCAGTTTAATTATCAGCTTATAAAACTACAAGGACGATGTTAAAATACAAACTTGTATGTTATTTATCGTGATATTTATCAAATATGGTTATATATTGAGAAAAATATCTATTTAATTATAAAAGAGAATTAAAATAATAAACACTCAAAAGTATCGAAAATTGGTACCGTTAAGTACCGGTATCGACTCGTAGGTACCGGGAATTAGTACCGGATCGATTCAAATGTCAAAGGTACCCATCCCTAGCCACAAAGGGTCCCAAATTAAGGAAATCCTTCTGCTATGCTGTAGAGATCAGAGTGCTCGCAAAGAATGCGTTCCCTCCAGTGCGCATGCTGCTTTGACATGTGCTGTCAAGGTGTGTGTCTTTCCAAATCATGCCCAATCAACTTAATTTACCACAGGTGGACTCCAATTACTCTGCTGAAACACCTCAAGGATGATTAGTGGAAATAGATAGCACCTCAGCTCAATTCTGAGCTTCACGTCAAAGTCTGAAAACTCATGTACATGTGATTTCTCAAGTTTTTTATTTTTAATAAATTTGCAACAATTTCAAAGACTTTTTTTTACATTATCTTATGGGCTGTTTTGTGTTTAATTTTATGGGCACAATGAATTTAATCCATTTTGGAATGAGGCTGTAACATAAACAAAAAAGTGGAAAAAGTGAAGCGCTATGAGTACTTCCCGTTGTCGGTATAAGATCTGCTCGGGTGCAAAATCGGCTCGGGGTCCGTCGACGTCTAAGTAGTTGATTGGCTGAACATGAACCTTACGGAATTACATAATCACGTTACGTTGGTCCAGGCAAATCTTTCTATTGGAAAGATGGACAACTTTTACAAAGAAATCCATCATTACCACTTTGAAAATACACTTTTAGCATAGAGCTGCATGTATATTAGGGCTGAATGATTAACTGCGTGTGCAATTAAATTGCGATGTGACAAAAGGAGATTTTCTAATCGCAAAGGCTGCAATTTGGCAGCGAGTGGTTAGCGCAATGCTAATATACATGGAAAAACCCATAGGAATGCTAATGCTAATATCGCCGATTACATTATTACAAATTATGAATTAGAAACGTGCCAAATGATTACATTTGGAGTATAATAGAAAGTAAAACTACCATCAATCAAATAAGTACAGACAGGTATTTTAGTAAAGCCAGAAAACTTTTATCTCCAGAGTTTTAGCTAGCAGCTATGAGCGTAACTGAACTACGCATGGACAAGACGTCAAAAACTCTAAACACAAAATACTTCAATAAACGGGACACACTTCTTTCCTGCAAATACAATTTCACAGGTGTCGCTAATACCTATGATTCTTCAAGGGATGTGCTCAAAGAGGAGTTCAACATCATGAATACAATATAGTGTTTTATTTTACAAATACCATTATAAACACAAACTTACGTCTTAATAAACATTATTTTAATAACGAAACTGCTAAACTCTTTCCAACAGTATAGATGTGTAGTGCATTTTGTCCGAGTGGGGTTGCCGTACTTTGACGTCATCGGCAGTCGAAGGACCCCGAGCCGATTTTGCACCTGAGCAGATCTTGTTCCGACACCGGATGCACAGTAGTAAGCATAGCACTTTTAACATAAGCATTTTCACACATGGAAAATATCTATGTGAATAAATCGTATGGCGGTAGCTCTCCTGTATTTTTGTCATGTCAAAGTAGCTCATGGGCCAAAAAAGGTTGGAGACCCCTGACATAAAGAAACCACTTCCTCACAACTCAGGAGATTAAACTCTCTGCTACCTACACAGAGTGACTGGGCATTTATGTTTACATTACATTGCATCTCTCTGCATGATATAGCTTAGTTAAAAATTTTCTGAGCTGAAGCAGGGTATCTGCAGGTTTAAGAGAGCCAAATTTAAGACTTTTAAGACCTTTTTTAAGGCCACTTTGACCAAATTTAAGATATTTTTAAAATTACATTTAAGCTATAATTTCCAGCTATTGCCTGGAACCGGTGCTAACCACATCGCGAACGTGGGATTAGCCATCCAGTTACCATTAAACTTCCCCATGGTGCAAGCTCCCACTAGCTTAACCAGCTAATGTGCTCATCTAAAAATAGCCCCCTTTCACAACCAACTGAATGTGTACGGTTCCGCTTACGCCAACATCACACACAAAAAAGCTGAACACTAACTAGAAATTCACGAAATTTTTATAGAAATAAAAGAATCTTGTTTAGTGGGCCTTTGGTAATTTACGACCTTTGGAAACTGGATTTAAGGATTAGTTGTCATTTTTAAGGATTTTTAAGGCCTTAAATTTTGAATAGCAAATTTAAGACTTTTTAAGGACCCGCGGATACCCTGTGAAGGGGTACAGCAGCTGAGACAGAAAAATACATGTGTGAGGCCAAAAGGCCGTGTATTTGAGGAAATAAAAATAAAACATGGTCAAAGGGTACAAAAAGATTGTGCATGATATGGGACCTTTAAAATGAATTATCAAAATTGAATATAAGTTAGAAATGTTTAAACCCAACCTTTTACGTCGCTTTTCTGGGATATCATTATCAGTTGTTTGAAGATCAGATGCTGCTTCTGCCTTAGCAAGCTTTCTTCGTGCATCACAGTAGTTTTCTAAAACACACACACACACACACACACACACACACACACACACACACACACACACACACAAAGACAGGAATTGAGACAACTGATAATCTTACATAAAATATGTTTGTTAGTTCATTTATAAGTGAAAGTTTGTCACCTGCATTTCCAAGTACACGCACACAGCATGTCTTCCATGACGCATCTGGCTGCAGTTGCTGTTTCACTGCCTTTGTGATGTTTATACCAAGGCCCAATGGCCAGAAGCATTCGACTTTGTTTTCATCTGTGAACCAACATGATGGAATAATGTCCACCAACTTCTTTCCTTCCTTCGACTCTTCAATGAATTCCACAATGCTGAAGGACATGCTGAAAGGTCACATGAAGCCTGTCATTGATCATGTAACTGGGGAAAGACAACATGACCATCCCGCAAAGGCAGGAGTACAAGTTTTTTTGTCAGGTTAGTCACAGGTACTCCATAAAGATGATCGGATAGTTGTGCCACTGTTCTGATTCCAAGACACGACAAATCAGTAGGGTATCTGCAGAAGCAGTCTTGTTTGTCATAAAACTGACACACAATGTACATGGCTCCTGAAAACAACTGTACTATATTCCTTACTACTGCAACTTTGCCCTCAACATCAAAACAGTTATTCCCTACAGAACATGAAATGATAATTCCCTCATGTTTGTACTGCCTGAATTGCATGCGAGCAGGAAAGTCTGGGAGAGTTGGACCACATGTATGTTGTAGTTGAGGTTTGCTCTTCCTTTCATTTTCACCCGGAACGCGCTTTTCAGCTACACGCCGAATGACTTGTTGTAGGGGATTTTGGGGTCTTCGTACAAGTCGCTTTAATGTCCCCAGATAATTTTCGAAGGGAAAACATGAGATGTTGTCCAAGGCACCATACTTTCTGGCATCATCAGCTAAATGCACGAGGCAGTGAGTGTTGTAAACTAAGTGCTCTGTTCCATATACTTTAGCAAAATTGGCAACATAACATTTCAATAGTCTGTCAGCATAGTCACAGTATTTACAACACAAAGCTGGGCTGAGAAGGATTCTAATTGCTACTGAGAGCAACAAAAAATTGTTGTACATTTGTGTGGATAGTCGTCCTTGAAGAACCACTGGGCCTGTGTACAACAGAAACTGCCTAAATTCTGTTGCCTTCCACTGACTGTACTCCATCAGTGATCGCGGTTTGCGGGAAAAGTTTCTTGGAAAGTGATCTCTGATTGATTTCATGTGATTAGAAATGATGGAAATAGTAACTGCAGATAGACGACACTTTAGAGGTCCTTTGATCCACAAACTTATAACTTTTTTTACATGTCCTAAACAAACTAAATGCATATAGTCAAGTACAAAGCTTGACACCATCCCAATGCCAAGATCTTGCAAGGGTGAAACTCCATGATGATGGTCCTCATCTGTCAAATGTTCAAATGCTTCATCTGTTCGTAGAGGTGCTTTACAATCAGGAAACACAACCTTTTTATCCAAATAAATTCCATGCTCTGCACAGCGTTCACAGGAGCTGTAACCAGAATGGCCTTTGACACATTTCAAAAAGGCCCGAGCAGGTGCATCACAAACAAAGGCATCTGGAAGTGCGATATTAAAGTGTTTTCCTTTGTAAAGAAAACCCTCTTTGGTTACTGACTTCAAGTCTTCAATAAAGTCATTTAAGTATTCTTGAACAGATGCGGGCTTGGACGAGCCTGCGTACAGCCCAATGATGATGACACCACATTTTGGAATTTCTTTAACAATGGCCAAAATAGGCCACAATTCCATTTTAGAGCTTCTGAAGAGTGGTAACCCATCAATGTTCACCCGAAGAGTTAAAGTATCAACTGAAATATGGGAGTCATTTAACAGCTGTGATGTAATTGCATTAGCCACTCCAAAATGATAGTAAATACCATTTCCCATTTCTTTCACTTGAAATGTTTTGGGGGTTGACAAAAGACTTCTTGAATCCTTGGGTAAATCCAGACCACAGTGAGCTAAAATATGTAGTAGTTCTGTCAGCGCACTGTGGGAAATATTTCGATTCACTGCCCAATTGGCCAAATTCCTTTTAAGTTCACATCTTGAATCAGTTTCCTCAAAGGTGCTGTCCAAATCTAACTCAGTGCCATTACATTTTGTTTCAGCAACTGATTGTTCTTTATCTTCTTCAAATTCCGTGTCTGATTCTTTTCCATTTTCACTCAGAATAGCCTCACAGCTCAAATCCTCTCTAGGAATCTGGTTGTCCATTTCTGAAGCGCAATCCAAAATGAGTGAATGAGATTGTTTGGGCCTTGAAGTCTTCCAAGAACTTTAAATGCTTAGCCACATTTGCTTTAATTCGTCTTCTTTTGGTCCGCGAACTACCATAATAATCCATTCTTTGAATCTGTAAAAAAAAAAAAAAACAACAACAACAATGGGCCCTTTTAGCTGGGTGTACATTAACAATGTGAGAGAATACTCAATTAGTGACTGAAATTAAATTAATAATGCTTTTAAATTTCTTCATCTATGCATTAACATCTGCTTAACTGTTAATGTTTTTATTAATTGTTGGTTATCCAAAACAAAACTTTTTTATGGAGGGCTGATCCTGCCAAAATAAAAATAGGTGCAGAATAGAGAAATGATTTGATAAAGCAATTAATACATAAATAATGCCAGTAGATAATTAAACAATTGTGTGTTCATCATGTTAAAAAACAAACAGCATTTAAAGGATTTAGCATTAATGAGCAGCGCGCAGATACGACTTTACTATCACCCGGCATATTTTACTGAGGATGTTTTTTGACTCACCATCCGAATCCTACAATCCAGTTTCATGCATAATTTGGCATATCAATTGCTTTCATTTATTTATGTATTTTGGGCTGGATCAATCCTCCATACTTGGTGATTTACTGACAATGCTATTACAAATTACTGCTAAAGTGCGAAAATGTACTTCTAGTCTTCTTAAAGCTGCTTTCCGGAGTTTTACCCTTTCAGAAATTATGTATGATTTTTCAGAAATCCATAAAAGTGATTATCTTATCATGTAATGTGATAAAATGTAAACAATACGCCTTTTTTTTGGCTAAGCACGCCCCCTGCCCCGTAAAGCTCCGTGCAATAGAAACTGAGCACCAACCAGAACTAACCAATGGCGTTAGACTACCGCTTACGTGCTTCAAATCTAAGGAATACCTCGGCTGATGCAGAGTTGATGAACTTGTCACAAAAAAGTCTCTAAAATATAAATATGTGAGAACACAACATGACATGAGAATAATACTTGTAAAACAACGTGTTAGGGCTGCACGATATTAGGAAAACCTGCGATATTCGATAACAGTGCTTAATATTGCGATATCGATATTACTCACGATAAATGAACAAATACTAAAGTATGCAGTGTTGATGTCGTCTGGCGTGTGACGTCTGCTCTGGGTTCAAAGCAAACATAACTAATGCACGAATTCCATTACAACATAACATTTTTATTGCAAAAATATGCAGCTGCACCTGCTACTGTATTAGCAGCAAAACAACAAACTGCATGCATGCAGTTTCTCAGTGACTTTAAAACGTCACCACCACCATAAAACTTTTTCTGATGCTCCAAATACAGAAAAACATCCCTTACCAGGGTTTTCTGAATAAATAAAAAAAAATCTGAAAATAAGTTTAAATGTTAAATAATAGTTAACATCACTTAAATGCAACAGCAAATTCTCTCATTGCTACTGAATATTTTCTCCACTTATGTGGTTATGATATAAGGCTGTTGCTGCTATTGGGAAGTGAACTGTGCTGGGCCAAACTAGGAGAATATTAAGATTTTCTGAGGGAAAGAGAAAAACAATTGTCTACCTTTCAGAAGAGGAACTGGCAAAAAAACTACATGGAAAATATGTGAAAATGTTTGTTTTTAACCCCAAATTGAACAAGTTTACCTAGATCTTAAATCAGCTCTGTTCTAGGTCCCCCTGATCACCATTAGTAGGCAAGATGGTAACATGCTGGTGATGTCTTTCCCAAGGTCAAGTCTGACATGACTTATATTTTGGGAAATTGCAAAACCTCCTGGTCGATAAGCACACAAGCTGCACAAGCATTTAGGAAGCAAAACCTGATGAATGAGAATGAACATAATGCTGATAAATCCAGGACATAATGAAACTAATAAAAAATAACTGAACAGTGTAAAGGTTCAGGTCAGTGCCTGGAGCACACACAGCACTACAGCATCAACAGTCAGCACGATTTCTGATCAAGTTGTCAGTTTAACAGCTATACACAAAAAGTTATCCATGAAAAAAAGAAAGAAATACAATATTTTAACTATGTATTTCAGTAAGCTGAAATATCATGTTCCCACTTTAACTTTTTCCAGAGTCACAGATGTCATCGTCCATGAAAAGATGAATAAACACAGGAAAACCATCGTGAATTTACTCTCAGATTTATCCACCTTAACCATTCAAAATGGAGAGCATCCATCAAAATTGCTGTTTTACTTTAAAACTACAAATATGTTTACAATTAATTCCCGTCGTGTGTGTGTGTGTATGTGTGTGTGTGTGTGTGTGTGTTGCAGAATCTGCTTCTCTCCGTGATGTGTGCACTCCAGACAGGTGAACAGGTCAGGATAAATTTATTTTTACTCACCCCTACCCTTGGGCTAACTCGGATTCATATTTCAGACAAGGAAAACAACTGCTGAGGTTTTTTTTGGCTTACTTTTTACAGTTGTGTACTTCTACAGATTCTGTGAAACGTCGCAGCTATTGTGAGACCTGAACGTGCTGCTTTTGTGACACTTAAGTGGCTGCAGCAGTTTGAATCTCTGGCGCAGACACTTTAACACGAAAGCCGACCAGTTTCAGACTTAACAAACGCATTGCCCCCCCCCCCCCCGAACAGAAAATTTAACGGTCGGAAAATTTGAGCAGCCCCCCACCCCCACTGGTGCGCGGTTATCTTTTACCAACGCGGTGAATTACGTCATGTCACAAAGTTAAAAGCTTACTTTTCACATCAGAAAACTAGCGAACCTGTGTTCCAATTCAAATGTACAGCTCTGTAAAACATGGCGCTTTAACAGCCGTACAATACTACTAACCTTATGACACACACAGCCCAAGTAACATTTTACTACGCATCTAATCACTAAAATATGGTGTCTAGTAAGTATAGTTTTGCGTCTTGTTTAAGCAGTATGAGTATGAGCAGTATGAGGAAAACCGGCTGACTCCCAACAGGTAAAAATTTTAGCATTACTTCTATGCCCGGTTAACTCACAAGGACTTCACTAATGATATACATCGTACTTTAAAGCATTACATGACCTTTAAATATTTAATATATTTAAATTTAGGTTAAAAAGTTCTTACCTTGGACCAGAAAATTCCTGCTTTCCAATGTTCCAACAGCTCGCCACAGGCGCGAAATGTACAATCCTCATGGGTGGGGGATGGGTGGATTTGCTAACGCCTCGCGATGTCTGGAAATACCGCAAGATCGTTGGTTACGTATTGTAACCCCAGATTCTATGAGTCTAGTCGCAGCCCTTAAGCGAGCTGCTATTGGAAGGATGATCTCCGCATCAGCCAATCATGAAGAGCTTAAATGTACGCCCACCAATAGTGGGCCCCCTCGTGGTATATAACCGCAGTGACCCCACTGCTCGCCTCCATTGGCTCTTATTCCATCATAACCAGTGGGGCCAAGTGGCTTAAGGGCTGCGACTAGACTCATAGAATCTGGGGTTACAATACGTAACCAACGTTCTATTTCGTCTAGTCTTAGCCCTTAAGCGAGCTGCTATTGGAATAAAGCGCAGCTGGATGGGTTTACGCCACACTGGTTAACACAACCAATGGACACACCCAATCAATCTCCTTTAGTGAGGGAGGTTCAGCCTCAGACCAGGCTTAAAGACTGAGGCAGCCACGATAAAATAAGGTCCCCCACTAAAAAAACATCATCCACGAGAGGATGAAATCCATCTCAGCAAGGCCAATGAGGCGTCATAAGCATTCATTCAGCCTGCTGGGGTCCAAGCACTGAACGAGTGATGGAACCTGAAGACACATCCCGTAAATAATAACGAGTAAAGGAACAGGGTGAAGCCCATGAAGCAGCCTGACAAATGTCTTCCATCGACACACCACTGTGGAGCGCCATCGAAGAGGAAATCCCCCTGGCTGAGTGAGCCCTGAGTGCCTCAGGGGAAACCTGCCCCGATGACGTGTAAGCGAGGGAAATGGCGTCACACAGCCAGTGTGAAAGACGCTGGGCCGTCAGCGCCTGACCAAGGGAAGACTCCCTGTAGTGCACAAACAGGTTTTGTGAACGACGAATCCCTGAAGTGCGTGACACATACCGTACAAGCGCGCGCACCGGGCAGAGAAGGTGAGAAGCCGCCTCCTCCTCAGAATTATGGGGAGGAGGAAAAAGTCCAGCCAATGAAATTGACCTGGACTTGAAGGAAGCATTAATGCTTTTGGGCACAAAGGCTGGATTGGGGCATAAAACAGCAGACCCGCCATCTTCCCGGATCCTGAGGCATGCGGGAGCCACTGAAAGGGCGGTCAGGTCACTCACTCTCTTAACTGATGCTAGCGCTAGCAGCAATGCAGTTTTAAGTGACAGGAACTTGAGTGAGACCTGGTCCAAGGGTTCAAATGGGGCTTTGGATAAGCCGTGCAGAACCACCGTTAGATCCCACTGGGGAAAAAGCGGGCGGGACACAGGTCTGTTCCTCCTGACACCTTTTAGAAAACGTTTTGTGAGGGGATGATTGAAAACAGATCTATCTCCAAACCCTTGATGACAGGATGAGATGGCTGCAGCATATGTTTTAATAGTGCTGAAGGCGAGGCCCCTGTCCATCAGTATCTGCAGAAACGACAGGACATCCGCCAGCTGGCAGGAGAGCGCTTGAACATTCCGCTCTGTGCACCATTTCTGGAAAGCTGCCCATTTAGCAGCGTAAGACGCAATGGTAGAGGGCGCCCGCGCACTCTGAATCGTGGCGACCACATCATGCGGCAGCCCAGAAGCCTCTAAGCGTGACCGCTCAGCGGCCAGACCCACAGCCGTTGGCCTATTTCCGGAGGATGTTTGATTATCCCATCCGCCTGGAGAAGGGCGTCCGCCCTCCACGGGAGCCTCCACGGGGAGCCGGACACTAGCGCTTGCAGGTCCGGAAACCATGACGCGGACAAGCGCCTGGGAGCCACCAGAATCACCGAGAGCCGTTCCGACCGAATTCGGTCTAAGAGACGGGGAATCAGAGGGACTGGTGGAAACGCATAAAGGAGCGCTCGAGGCCAGGGCTGGTGTGAGAAGGCGTCCGCCCCGAGCGGAGGTCCGTCCCGGGGACTCAGGGAAAACCACAGGCGACACTGAGCGTTTTCGCGAGCCGCAAACAGATCCACAGACGGTTCCCCGAACCTGATCCAGATCTGTGATATCAGTGCGGGATGCAGACGCCAGTCGGAGTCGCGGGGTCCCCCTCTCGACAGGATGTCTGCCGCTACATTCAGGACCCCCGGAATGTAGATGGCCCTGATGGACAGCAGGTGGACATGTGTCCAACACAGTAAATCTGTGGCGACACGCAACAGAGGGAGGGATCGAACTCCCCCTTGGCGATTTATGTAGGCTGCCGCCACCTGGTTGTCTGTGTGAACTTCGACATGACGGCCCTCGAGAAGGGCAGCAAAGTGTCTGATCACATTCCTCACTGTCATAAGCTCCAACACATTTATGTGCTCGTGCGTGTGGGAGGGCCAACGATCCGCCACCGTATGGGACAAGCACGTGCCCCCCCACCCCGACAGTGACGCATCCGTAAACACAGATACGTGTGACGCAGGACGTCCGATGGGAACCCCGCGTGAGAGGATGCAGGGGTTCCCCCAGTGAGCGAGGTCCCCGCCCACTGAAGGGGGAATCCTCAACATACGTCTCTTCTGACGTATCGGGTGCACCCGGAGGCGGGTGAACCAACGTTGCAAGCGCCTCGTGTGCAGCAAGCCTAGCGGTACCACAGCGTGGGCTGCGGACATCATGCCCAGGAGTTTCATGACTAACAGGGCTCTCACGATCTTGCGGGGTTGTACACGGGAGATCACCGTGGAGAGATCTGCCGCTCTTGCAGGCGACAAACGTGCTCTCATCAGGGAGGCGTCCAACTCCACCCCGAGATACACAATCGACTGGGATGGAAGAACGGAGCTCTTTTCCCAGTTTATAGAAAACCCCAGGGTCGACAGATGCTCTGTCAACCTCCTGGTTTGCTGTGACGCCTCGTCCTTGGACCGAGCGCACAGGAGAAGATCGTCCAAGTAAAATAAAACCCTCATTCCCTCCGTGCGCAGTGGCTGCAGCGCGGTCTCCAGACATTTGGAGAAGGTGCGCGGGGCTAGCGAGTAGCCGAAAGGGAGGCGATTGAACTGATATTGAACTCACTTGAACGAAAAACGCAGAAACTTCCGGTGATTCGGAATTACTGGTATGTGGAAGTATGCGTCTTTCAGGTCGATTGACGTGAACCAATCCCCGGGGCGCACATATTCCAGGACTTGTCTCATCGTTAACATGCGGAAATGCATTACTGCTATGGAGCAGTTGAACAGGGACAGGTCGAGAATCGGTCTCATTCCTCCCGACTTCTTCGGTACTATGAAGTAGCGGGAGTAGAAGCCCGAGAGCTCTTGTCCGCGAGGGACTCGTGAAATAGCGTCCTTGGACAGAAGTTCCCGCAACTCCAGCTCTAGAGCCTGAAACTGTACTTGCGATGTGAACGTCGTCTCCACGATCCCGTTGAAGGGAGGTGGAGTGACCTGAAAATGACATGTGTGACCGCAATGAATGGTGTCCGAAATCCATTTGCTCATGATACAAAGGCGGCGCCACTCGTGCGCGCGTTCCGACAGAGGACGCGTGTGCGCGGTCACGTGAGCAACGACTGAGGGTTGTGCATGCGCCCTTACCGCCGTCGCCCGTACCAGAGAACTGGGGGCGACCCATGGAGGGCTGCGCTCGAAAGGGCGGGTGCGAAACAGCTGGAACAGGCTGGTCCGCACCGCGGAGCGTGGAGTCCGAAAGTGAAGGACGAGTGGGAGCCGAGCCTGTGCACGGGGGCGACAAAGTGCCAGCGGACGAAGCCGCGCACTGTGCCGCCGCGCGTGGTCGAGACAGCGACCTGACATCTCGCCCCACCCGACGATGTGGTGAGAGTCGGGCCCGGCCGGATGCTGGGGCCGGAGCGCCAATGGAGCGCACCCTTACGGTTGGCCGTATATTATGACTGCCTGCAGGAACATGTGTGCGTGCAGCAGTGCTTGGTGTGGGGAACATGTGTGAGAACTCGGCAGGAGATTCTGCGGAGGACTGTAGGATTGTGCTCTTTGAGTGACATGTTTTGGGTTTTATTTCAAAACCAACATCAACATTACAATCATGTACACACACATTCCCCCCAAAGAGTCACTTCCGTGGCTGCTTTCGGCGAGGCTCGTGCAACTGGGACTGCCAAGACGGCGTCTGCTGGCCCCGCCGGAACCGTTGC